AAATGATGGCAAGTAAGGTGATAATTGATTTTCTAGTAAAAAAAAAACAAATGGCAGTTAAACCTCACTTGCATGTTCCATATAGCTCCTTGCCGGCTTTGTTCATCAGCTGTTAATCGGACTTGTTGACTAGTAACCATTGAGCTGCCTTGAATGTTCCAAAATGGAATCTCCATCCCAGCACCTGAAAACTGATCAACGTAGCACAATATATATTTTTTATTTTGAAAATTTCAAAAGCACCTTGGTACGGCCGAGTCAAAGAATGCTCTCTTTTGTAGTATCCACGAAATTCATGGACTGATGTGCCATCTATACTCTGTGCTAACACTTCGGCAGCAGACGGTGAAGCCGACGGTGCCTGCGCTGTCACAACTCCCAAAAGGAGTAAAACTCGCCACATGGCGAACCTGTAAGAAGTAGCACCATAAGAAAATTCTGACTACAAAAATGGATATATAAGGAAACACGGTTTGATCCTAAACACTCTCTGTGCTCCCTACTACTCTGTTAGGGGTGGAACGACTTGAACCTGTTTGATCAGCTGACGGACAGTTAGCAATTCGCTATCAAGTTAGAAGAGAAAGAAGAAATCAATGGCAAACACAATTTACCGAGAAACCAAGCTTCATGGAAGAAAATCTTCAAGCCAGATTGCTTCGAACAATCTGTGCAAAAAAATTTCGCATGCTTAGAAAAGGCGAAGCAAGTTTTAAAAAACGCAACAATAGTTGGTCAAAAAGAACCGTAGTAAAAGGATAAAGATGGAATGTTCACAAGCCTATCACTCAACGCAATCGGAGATGACTTTTTTCCATTTCTTTTCCACATTAATCATGCAAAAGCATGCTTTCATGCAAAGTAATGCATATTTCACATATATCACATTTAAAAACAACATCTTGCAGTTAAAGAGACATAACTAATTCCACATGAATATGTTCAAAGATTTTGTAGAAGCACGGTGCATTATAAGCTGTGAAACCACAATATAACCATTTGGAAGAAAAAATGGACAAAAAAGCGATAAGACAATGGAAAAGATGATATACATCATGAATAGCAAATGGAAAGATGCCTATGATTAAGCTCAAAACCTTTCTTTAGATGACTAGTTAAAGGGAAAAAAGCACAATGCATTCCAAAACAAAACAGCCGCCATGCCCTCTGAAAGCAAGGAAAATAACGTAGCAGCGAGAACAGAAGTAGTACATGAAACTGACGTGGCAACGACAATTATCGCGTAACAAACTCAAACATCTGACCGCGTCGCGATTTCGCTATGCCGAATTGACTATCAGGCAAATCTTCCCCGGACTCCACCGTAACCGAGCTGCAAATTCGCAACAGCCGCCGATCAAGCAGATTTTTGCGAACATCTCGCGACATGGTTGTCTGCCTGTTCTGGGTTCTGTTTTATAGAAGGATCCAAACTATGCTATCCTTGAATTTTCCTTTCCCGAGCTTTTCGGATTTCTTGCTCCTTCAAAGATGGAGTTCTTATGTAGCGTCTTAGTGCGTATCAGTTGCATTATATCTCTCCTTAAATTCCCAGGTAAAATCATGTACGCACTTTTGCTGATCCTCGCTGTCACTGCATTCGCCGAGGACGCCTCGACTCAAACTCGGGTAGGTAACTGTTTTATCTCTAAAAATTCTTCCAATTTTTTTGATCAGAGGTCGCCTTAATCTTGCTCATTCGTTTTCTCTTTACTAAAGAGGAGAGAAAATGAGCTTACTTAACGAAACTGATTGTGACTAAACCAAAAATGCTCTAAAGAAGACTACAGCTACGCTTCTTTGTGCTTTGCGGGTTTTTTTGAAGCTTGCGTCTCTGAGATAGTTGATGATATTATACTTGTTAAGTTTCTACTTTTAATTTTGAGCTGTAATAGTGATTTAGTTTTCTTTAGTTGTCTATATATATTTTAATATTCTAAGCCATTTTGTTTACAATCACGAGTGAAAGTACCCACTAGGGGTAGGTTAGAATTCTTCCGCTTTTTTAAAGAGGCAATTGGAATTTCACGCTTACGGATTACAGATTTCTTGGACTATCAACTTTTGAATTAGGTCGTTGGCAAATGCTTGGGTTTTGTTAGTTCTGTCTTGTGAAGTCAAGAGTGATGCTCTAGTTGTGAAATAGTAGCACTGTATTGGGGGTGTATGACTTAATGAACGATAGCTCTAATTGACACCTGTGGTGGACGCAAGCGCGCCTAACTTTTGCAGAGCTTGCCGTGTTTTTAATCAGACATTGCCATTTATCATCAAAATTAAGACCACTGTACTGAACCCTTTTGAAAATTTGCATCTAGCTGTAAATGCCTATTTAATCTAAAATTGTTGAAAAAAACATTCTAAATGCGTGTTATTCATAAAACATCAAATATCTTCTTACAAAACTGATCAGATTTAAAGGATTTGTTATATGTAAGCTCGGCGAGCTTGAAAAGTACTAGTAGGGTGAGGAAAGTGAATATGG